CTCTGGGTCCCTTGGGGGCTCACAATCCAGGTGCTGGTTTTCCATACAATCCACACATCTTCAACACAGCCCTTCCCACACGTTCAGGCATCAGTGGGATGTGCCAAGACACCATGAGTCATTTAATGGACTGGGAAGTGTCACTGCTGAAGGATGTTCTCAAAGGTATTTGGAAGACGAATAAAAAACAGGCTTTTGTATCAACATTCCCATCTCCTCAGGACCATTTCTGAGCAGTTCAGCAAATCACAGCACCAGGCTCAGCACCCTGAGCCTTCCTGAGCTCTGCTCAGCACCGAGCTTCACTCAGCCAGGGAAGGAGGGGCCTTCAGGCTCTGGAAAAGAAGCTTCTGAGCAGAACTTCAGCACAATTTATCCACAGGTCCAGCAGAACTGGTGCTGCCCAGAGTCTGACGTTCCCACAGCAGCTGAGGACCACAACTGAACCTTGCTGGGGCCAAGGAGTGAGGAACTGAAGGAGTATTTGAAGTATTTCCCCTCAAGGGGCCTCAGCAGGTCCCCAGTTCACCTCCCAGCCCTTGAGCTGGGTGCCCTGGGTGGAGGACGAGCCCTCCCAGCTGCTCTGGCTTAAGGCTGCAGGCTCCAGCTAAGCCGGGCACAAGTGGTTTTGTGTTTCCTCCTGTCGGAAGTTCAGAACTCCCCAGGAACAGCTCCTTGTTTACCAGGCTCCCAAGGTCGTTCCCACGGGCACATTCCCCGCAGCCCCTCGGAGTCTGGAGCTCTGAGGTGACCCCTCTGAGGCCTCCTGGCCTGGACACAGCGCTGCTGCTGCGGGACATGGACGTGGAAAAGGCGTCCCTGTGGCCTTCTGGATGCAGGAAAAATAAACCAACCTTTCTCTGGGAGTGTTTCCAACCTGTAGCTCCTGGAGTCCCCGTGGAACCAGCTGTGGATTGGAGCCGGCAGAGGGGAAATGCACTTTGTCTCCAGGCTGAAAATCAGGTCACACCCTGTGGTGGCACCACCCCAGCGTGGCATCACCCCCTGGGTGCTCTCAGGTGTCTGCTCTCCTCACACACACAGCTGGTGCCACCCCACTGGAGGAGGAGGAGCCTTTCCAGCAGCACTCACGGGTGGGACAATTCCCTGAGGATGTCCTGAGCACACGGGCAAGGACCCAGGCTGGGGGTACACATTCCAAACACTGGGCTGTCTGCAGGCTCCAGCTGGACATCCCTGGGATCCTGGGGCTTGCACAGGTCACTCATTGCCCCCCCATGACTGGCCAGGATGGGTATCTGGGATCAGGCTCCATGTTCCACTGGGAACATGACCATCACCTTATGTGGCAGTCAAATCAAGGTTTATCCTCCAAAACTACACTCAAACCTCCTGGGAAGCAGCTCCAGCCCCAGACTGTCACTCTGCTATTTGCTAAATCTGCCCTAAAATATCTTGCTGCCAAAAGACCCCCAGGTTTGTCATCCCCAGGGATGAAGGCTCTTCTCTGTCCCAGAAACGGGAGGATGATCCAAACCAAGGAGTGACAGGGACGGGAGAGGAGCCCCTGCAGGTCCCTCCTGCTCACTCAGGGGGGAGCATCTGGGGGGATTCTGCCCCTCTGCCCTGCCCAGGTGAGACCCCCCTGCAGAGCTGCCTCCAGCTGAGGAGACCTCAGAGCCCCTTCCGGGCCTAAAGGGGCTCCAGGAGAGCTGGAGAGGGACTGGGGACAAGGGATGGAGGGACAGGACAAGGGGGAACCACCAGAGGGCAGGATGAGATGGGATATTGGGAAGGAATCCTTCCCTGGGAGGGTGGGGAGGCCCTGGTACAGACAGCCCAGGGAAGCTGTGGCTGCCCCATCCCTGAAGAGTCCAAGGCCAGGTTGAACAGGGCTTGGAGCAAGCTGGGCTACTGGAAGGTGTCTCTGCCCATGGACTGGATGAGCTTTAAGGTAGGTCCTTCCCAACCCAAACCATTCCATGGTTCTCTAACTCTGGAGGAACAGGCCAGGTGAGCACGCACACACCTTCAAACACAGCCTAGGAAGTGAACCCCTGCAGGAGCCCAGCACCCATCCGAGCTCTGGAGGCTGCTGGCAGCTTCTGCAGGTCCCTCAGGAATGGACTGACTCTGGTGTGAGGCACCACAACAGCTAAAACCAGTATTCTCTGGAATCTAAAGGAACAAGGACCTTGCGGGGAGAAGTGACAGCTGAGAGCTCCAGCTGGGTGGACACACAGAACCTACCGCTCCTGAAGGTCGTGGAGAGACTGCTCAGCTCTGTGGAGACCCTCCAGGTCCTTCATCATCTTCTTCATGTGCTCCTTGGAGTAGCGGTTCTGGATGTAGGCGAACCAGCAGCCGCCCACCCCGATGACGATGGACACCACCAGCATGAAATCCTTCAGGTGGTTGTGTCGGGTCACTGGAAGAGACCAGAGACACCCCTGAACCCCAGGACTAACTCCCAAATCCTTCGACTGCACCGGAGCGGGACAGGAGAACTCGGGACAGCTCTGGAAAGAATTCAGGACTCGGAAAGGGAAGGAGCTACTTTGGTGTCTAAGGGGAACACCAGAGGCTTCACACCATTCATTCAATTTGGAGACACACACAAAGAAAAGAAGCTGAGATTCCAAGTCTTACAGCTCTGATTTGCCTGGCAATAGGTGGTACAGCAGGGACTCCACACAGGAACCCCCTGAAGAGCTGTGCTCTCCTGGGGCAGCACAGGCAACACTGAGTACGAGGATAAGCAAGATCAGCAAGAGCCAAGAAGGAAATAATTTGAAAGAATAAACTGAAGGAACACAGCTGTGATCCCAGAGCTGCTGGGGCAGCACAAGTATCAAACTGCCAAGTTGCCAAACTTTCTACAGAGTCACAACTCAGTGTGGAAAATCCCCTTTTCAACAGCTGCTTCAAAAAAAAAGGTGTGGACACGTGAGGGAAGGAGAGGAAATAAGAGGGGGCTTAAGTGCCACACAGAGCTCGACAGAGACAAGCAGACTTTTTTTCCCTGTAACTCTTTGTCGAATCCTCACCCAAGTGTGTGCTGAGAAGGCCACAAAGCAAAGAGCAGCTCAGTCACGTGAGCTCTGACTCAACGTTCAGTATTTGCTGGTTTTAAACCCAACGAGGGGAGACTCACTCCAGATATTGGGAAGGAATTCCTGGCTGGGAGGGTGGGGAGGCCCTGGCCCAGGTTGCCCAGAGAAGCTGTGGCTGCTCCTGGATCCCTGCAAGTGTCCAAGGCCAGGTTGGACGGGGCTTGGAGCACCCTGGGCTGGTGGAAGGTGTCCCTGCCCATGGCAGGGAGATTGGATCAAATGGACTTTAAGGTCCCTCCAGAGCCAAACCCTTCTCTGATCACTAAAATATGTGTCACACTGGCAGAGCTGGGGGAACAGGGAAGGGGCCCTGGGAGGTGGAAACCTGAAGAGGGATGTAAAGCACACCATGGAACTCCAGGGCTCAGGGGCTGCCCAGCAGCCCCACACTGGATTGACCCCCGAGGGGACAGGGTGCCTGGGATGGAGGGGCTTTCCCTGCGGGGGGAGAGGGACAGGACCTGTCCCAGGTGCCCAGCAGATACCCAAGCACCATCTCCCTCGTGGTGGACACCAGGTGTGACCCATCACCTGAGAGTCCCATCACTGTGACCCCATTCCAAGGTAAATCCAACCCCGGAGAAATAAACACGGAGAGCGCCGGGCCCGCGGCCCACCCCGGATGGATTATCACAACATCCTCTTCCTAAGCAGCACATCCTGGCAAGTCGCTGGAGGTCTGAGATCCTGAATGCTTTCCCTTCCCCTCTGGAGGCCCGTGGGGGTGACGTGTCCAGGTGCTTTGTGTCCCCTTCCCTGCCGGCACAGCCGCCCCAGCCCCGGCTCAGCTCGCCCAGGGCTGCCCAGAGCAGCCCCTGCCAGCCCCACCCACCCTGAGTCACCTCCTGCTCCCAGTGCCAGCACCAACCACGCTTGGATCCTGCCTGACAGCACTCGGGACATCCCTCCCCTGCACCAGCTCTGGCTCGAGGGGAGTGAGTAAGGAAACCAAGGAAAACTCAGCTGGGATGTAAATGTAGAACCACGGAATCCCAGACTGGTTTGGGTTGGGAGGGACCTTAAAGCTCATCCCATTCCACCCCCTGCCATGGACAGGGGCACCTTCCACCAGCCCAGGTTGCTCCAAGCC